CTCCTGGGTGGCTTTCGAGGGGTTTGCGGTCCAGCGGGAGAAACAGTGCCCGGCGCACTCTGGGACCCGGAGGGTTCCTCCAGGCGGTGGGATGGCCAGGGAAGGGCTTGTCCGAAGGGGCCGCCGGAATGCGGTTTGGGGACCGAGTGGGCGTTCACCCCGGGGAGCAGGGCAGGAAAGTTTGAAGGGAGTTCCAGACAGGGCGCGAAGAATGGGTAGAGTTCTCTGTGACAGCGAGAGCTTTGTTTTAGGATGTGGGGGAGACTTGGGAGGAGGGAAAACTGGAGAGGGCAGCCTGGCCGCACGGGGAGGGAACGGTGGGGTGCAGGGAGGGCTGGGGGAGGCGAGGCGTTCGAGCTGTACTCTGGTCTTTTGTCTGGGTGACAGTGTTTGGAAAGATGTCTCCTTTTTCCTTTGATCAGTTTTCCACCAGCCTGGGTGGATTTGGTTAAAATCCTTCAGGGGCTTCGCGGATGTCTTTAGGATGGTATTCACGTTGCTGTGGCTCACAAGTCCGCGCTCTGGTCTCTGCCTTTCTTTTCATTGTCTTTCTAGCCTTTCGCCTTCGAAAATCTTTGTTGGTAAAACCGAACTCCTCACATCCTTTTTAAACGCCCCGCTTCCCCAGCACGCTTTCTCCCTCTTCTAACTTTTATTCGTTAACTGGAGCTCTCAGCTTAAACATTTGTGGGGGAATTCGAGGGAAGAGGCAGGCTTTTCCTACTACACAGAGTGAGGTGTTTCCACGACACTGAATTTACTTGGCACAATTCTCTCTCATTACAATTACTCATTTAATTGTGGTCTGATAAACTCTAAGCTCTGTGAGGGTGTAGACTACTCTATTTTCTTGCAGTTTCTGTACCTGGCTCTTGCATGTGCTTTCAAAATATTTGTTGAAATAACATGTGGATGATGAAGTGAGTGAGCGAATTAGTGAAAGGAAGATCAATTAGGAGAAATAACAAGAGTCCAGACAAAATCATTCATAGTAGAGATGAAGAGGAGGGGACAAAGAAGGGAGGTATTTCAGGGAAAGAATAAATTCTGGCATCTGATTGACTGTGAGACACGAAGATAAGGTGATGCTAAGGCTTTAAACTGGAAAACCTAGAAGGATGGTAATTCTGTAGGTTGAGGTGACTCAGCATTTACTGAGCAAGCCAATCAGATATCAAGAATTAGAGGTTGGCAGTGTGTATGTACGTGTGTGTGTGGAGGGCATGGGCAGTAAGCTGTATTTGTACTCTACTGTATCTGAGATATGTGTACAAAAGGCAGTTGGAAATGAACATTTGGTGTTTTGAAGGAAGGTGTGGATTCTTGATTTGTGATTTATTTCATCTCACTGTGTGTGTGTGTGTGTGTGTGTGTGTGTGTGTGTGTCTCCAGTGCATTCAAACTTTGCTGAGGGGAGTGGGAGAGATCAGTGGGGGAAGATGTGAACTCCCCCTTGGTGCTCTAGAAACTCAGCTCCCTGGGAGCCAGCACCTCATTAGACTTGTTTACTGTGGTATCTCCAGTGTCCTGCCAGTGCCTGGTATGTGGTAGACTCTCAAAAACAGTTAACAGGACGAAGAGAGATGGTCTCCTCTGGGAAGACAAGAGGACTGAGGTAGAACTGGGTAAAGATCTTGATTATGTGGTATGTGAGGAGGGGCCAACAGAGCCCGCAAAGAAATGGAGAAAAGAATAGGAGAGAAACCAGGAGAAAGTATTGTGGGAGTCAAGGGAGCGGGGTCTTCCAGGAGTGGGAGCCTGCAGAGCTGGAAAGGCCTGAGAAATAAGAAGAGCCCAATGGTTTTAGCAATTAGAAAGGGCCCAATATTTTTAGTAAGTAGGAAGCTATTGGTAATTTAGGTTTTCTAGGCTGTGCTAATTATTTGACTCCTTAGCACCACAAAGTCTGTTCCTTGGTTGAGAACAATGTGGTCACCATTATTGGTGATGTTCAGGAGGACACTTTTCAGTGCAAAGATGGTTCCTGTGATGCAAAAGTTTTTAAGTGTAACGGGAGCTCAGTGACTAGAAGTGCTGAAATATGCCTCTCCTTCATGAAGGTTAGTGAAAGGAAGTCCAGAGGAGGGATAGCTTGGTTACACCTTTGTGATTTTAACATACAGAGGCTGGAATTTAGAGTTGGCCAATATGTTAGTTTTCTATGCTGTATAACAAATGACCACAAACTTAAAACAGTATATAAGTATTTCTCTCTTTACCGCGACCAGCATGGCTAGAGAGCGGACATGAGTCCTGAGTAGGGGCGGCGGGGGATTGGGAAAATGAAGGAGGCACAGAGACAGTAGGGGAAGCTGGAGCAGGGGGGGGCAGACGGCCGGAGAGACAGTGACCCAAAGCTGGTGCAGCACGTTTATTTTATACAGTATGATTCCAGGAAGTTTTACTAGAGTTTAAGACAAAGGAAATTCTGTGAAATCATGGTTAAAGATCAAGCTGCAATTCTTCATTCTCGTAGCTTCTTTGTAATTGTCACTCCTGGCTGAGCCCAGATAATTGCGTCCGTTCCTTGCTCCTGGCTGAACTTAAATAATGAAACCCACCCCGTGGCACCTGAGCTAAAATAAAGGTCAGGCTGACAACATACCTGCCTCTGGCACGGTATGTTTCCAGGACGTGGCTCTGCCAACGCCACTGGACTCAGCTGACAATAATCAAAGAAATGTTCATGTGCCTTCCCAGGCACTTTCTACAACAGTATTCATTTATTATCTCACAACTTCTGTGGGTCAGGAGTTTGGACATGGTTTAACTGGAGACTGAAGGGTCTCAAAGTTGTGATTGAAGTATTGGTGGTCTACATTCTCCTCTGGAGGCTCAGCTTGGGAAAAATCTGCTGCCAGGTTCACCTCACTCAGGTTGTTGGCAGGATTCATTTCCCTGCGGCTGTATGACTGAAAGGTCTTGGCTGCTTACTACCTTTCTGCTGGAGGCTGCTCACAGTTTGAGTTTCCTGCTCCAGGCCATTTTCATAGGCAGTCACAACACGGCAGTTTGCTTTTAAGGCCAGCAGGAAAGAATCTTTTGCTCTTTCTCCTAAGACAGAGTATAATACAGTGGTTGCCAAAAGCATGTTTACAGTAGTAAGTATGTGAGTTTATTCTGTATTATTATTTATTAATTATTATATTCTTTTCCATACAAACAACTATAAATCTACTTTTGCCCATCCCTGTATGAGGATTCCAATTTTTCCATATTCTTGCCAATGCTTGTTATTTCCATCTTTTTTATAACCATCCTACCAGGTGTGAGGTCTCATTTCCCTATTGACTAATTATGTTGGACATCTTTTCATGTGCATATTGACCATTTGTCTCATTTCCCTATTGACTAAATATGTTGGACATCTTTTCATGTGCATATTGACCCTTAGGCATTTAAAAAATGGATTTTTTTTCATTGTTGAGTTTTAAGAGTTCTTTATATATTCTGAATGCACATTCCTTATGAGATTTATGATTTGAAAATATTTTCTTCCACTCTTTTCAATTCCTTAATGATGTTCTTTGAAACACAACAGTTTTTAATTTTGATATAGTCCAAATAATTTTTTTCTTGGTTGCTTGTGCTTTTAGTGTCAAATCTAAGAAACCATTTCTTTTTTTTTTAAAATCTACTAGTAAGATTCATGAAGATTTGAACTTATATTTTCTTCTAGGTGTTTTTTACTTTTAGCTTTTTTAAAAAAATATATATTTTATTGAGTTTTTACAGTGAAGAAGGGAGTGGGATAGAGAGTTAGAAACATCGATGAGAGAGAAACATCGATCAGCTGCCTCCTGCACACCCTCTACTGGGGATGTGCCCGCAACCAAGGTACATGTGCTTGACCAGAATCGAACCTGGGACCCCTCAGTCCGCGGGCTGACGCTCTATCCACTGAGCCAAACCAGCCAGGGCTAATTTTAGCTTTTACATTTAAGTCTGTGGCCCATTTTAAGTAATTTTTATATATGTTGTGAGTTATGGGTCCTACTTCGTTTTGTTTTTTTTTTTCATGAAGATATGCAGTTGTTCCAGCACTGTTTACTGAAAAGATTGTTCTTTCCACATTGAATTGTTTCTTGGCACCCTTGTTGAATATAAACTGATCATAAATATAAGGGTTTGTTTGGACTTCTGTTTCATTCTATATCGTTTTAAATTGGTATTTATGGCTCCAACACTTATTGCATCACCTTCATAGTTGGTTAACTCTCTGTCATTTAACTATTATTCTTGTCTTTAAAAGAGTAATAAATAATAAATACTTCATGGAATTATTGTGAGGATTAAAGGAGATAATATGTGGGAAGAGCTTAGAACAGTGCCTGGATTGTAGAAAACACTCAATATGTGTTAGCTATTGCCATATTACCACCATCACTGTCATCATGATCACCATGATCACATCATCACTTAGCACCATCATAAAACTTAAGTGTTATTTTCTAAGTTGTATGTGATTTATTTTTGGGGTTCAGGTGGAAAGTTCTATGATTATTTAGGTGTATAAAGAAGTTCTAGACTGGGAGTCGTGTTGCTTTTTAAAAAATTATACATATATAT